ACTAGATATGAGAGTTGCACCATAAAGAAGTCTGAAAGCCAAATACCTGATGCTTTTTAATTGTAGTGTTGGAGAAGACTCTTGAAAGTTCCTTAGACTGCAAGGAGATCAAACCAATCTCCCCTAAGGGAAATCAACCCTGAATATTCATTGGAAGGACTGATGCTGAAGCTGAAGCACTAACACTTTGGCCACTTGATGTGAAGAGCTGGTTCATTGGAAAAGACTCTGAGGCTGGGAAAGATCGAAGGCAAAAGGGGAAGATTGAGAGATTGAGATGGTTAGATAAAATCATCAACTCAGTGGAGGTGAATTTGCGCAAGCTCCCAGGGATAGTGAGAGACAGGGAAGCCTGGCATGCTGCAGTCCAGAGGTCTCAAAGAGCCGGACACAACTTCGGGACTGAACAACGACAACAACAGCAATAGAGTTAGTGAACTAGACTACAGAAAATCAATACCCAAATGAGTTAGCGCCTAAAAGACGTGGTAGTATTTTAATGCTAAGTCATGTCCGACTCTTGCAACCCCACAGACTATCCTGTCAGGCTCTTCTGTCCATGGGATTCTCCAGGCAAGAATACTGGAATGGGTTGCCATTTCCTTCTCTATGTAAAGATGTAAAATATAAAAATAAATGTAAAAGATAAAGAATAAAAGTTTCAGTCATCCTCATGAAATCTCAGAAAAATATAATAAAGAAGCAATATATGAAGAAATGTTAATATTTTTTGTTTAAAACTAATAAAGTACCTCTATCAGAAGATAAATATATAATATACTATTTAATTATATAATATAGATAAGAAAACATACAGAAAAATCACTTAAAAATATTTTATTAAAAATGCAATGTGACAGAGATAAAACAAAATCTAATCTTGAAGTCAGACAGGAAGAGGGATAAATAACAAAAATTTAGATTACCTACGAAACAAAGGCAATTAGACTGATAAATTACTTTTTGATAGAAAAAAAGAAACAAGCATTAGAATCCAATCCTCAAAGTTATGAGAGAAAGTCACTATTAATCTGGAATAGTTTACCTAGCAAAGCTATATTTTAAAAATAATACTTATCATTTTTAGGTAAATGAAATAATGACAATGTGTAATTAAGTGTAACTTAGAAGGAAACTCATAGCACAAAATATTTATATTTAAAAAGACACAGAAAACTAATAAGCTAAATGTCTGGACTAAGATTTTAGGAAAAATACAGAATAATCCTTCAGAAATCAGAAGATAACCTTATAGATATGGGCAAAATTAAAGAACACACAAAAAAAGCATAAAATACAGAGAATGTACAAAATTTTAGAAGTGGTTATTTGAAAGATTAATAAAATAAGTGAAACAGTGATAAAATTTATTAAGAATAAAAGCAAAGAAGTATGAATAAATAATGGTGTCTTAGGGCACATAACTTAAAATATCCCAGTGTAGTAGTTAAGTTTACCAGTTTTGAACAACTTTTACACAAGTTGTAAAATTTAGTTAAAATGTATGAATTCTTAGAAAATTTTTACTTAGTGTAACTAACTCAAGAAGAAATATAGAGACAGAATAAATATAAAGCCTGAAGTAAGAAAAAATAGAAGTTATTTTTAAAAGGCAACATTACAATGAGACAATTTTACAAGCAGTTTCTATTTTCAAGAAATTTTGAAGAAACAGATCATTTCAATGTATTCATCATCTATGTAGGAGAAAATGAGAAGATTGTCTAACTTGAGGCCACTGTAAATGCAATACCTAAATCAAACAAGAACAGCAAGAAAAATAAAACCATAGATAATTCATACATATAAATATGAAACTAAATCAAATATTAATAGCTTAAAAGATAGATTAATGGCCCCCTGAAGATGTTCATATCCTTCCTAGTCCTCAAAATCGGTGTTATTACATAGCATAGAGATCTTACAAATATGGTTTTAGGAATCTTGATAGGGGCATGCATGCCCTGCGGGTTCGGGCTCCGCAACAGACCCTGAGTGCGTGTGCAGGTCAGTGGGGTCATCACCGCGGTCACAGCACCACCTGCCTGGACTGCAGGCCACGTGGCTCCACGATCACGGGCGCGCCTGCCCGCGGCTCGGCAGACGCTCCGCAGGCACCCACCCTCACTCCAGACCCGGGCTCTGTGGCCGCTCCGTGGATGTCCATGCATCAGACACTCATGCCACAGACACCTCTAGTGTCTGTGAGCCATTCCAGGGCACAGAGGGAGTCTCGGCTACAAATTTTCCCGGGGTGGGGGGCGGGGGGGTGAAGAGATACGGAGTACCTCAGCACGTGCCACCAAGTTCAACAATCCTTTTGCACAGCCTTGGCAATTGAAGATTTCTGCAATCTTTACCAATACTGGCCTCAGCTGATAAAAGCGCATGAAGGCTAAGGGGCTGTGTACACCCCGAACCAGGACCACAGCGTCCCATGCAACGGGGCCTTCGTGTTCACCTCTAGCTGGAGGCCTTTCCTTCACAGACCTGGGAGAGGGAATATTTGGGGGCTATCTAGTGTTGGAGAAGGCAATGGCAACCCACTCCAGTGTTCTTGCCTTGGGAATCCCAGGGATGGTGGAGCCTCATGGGCTGCCGTCTATGGGGTTGCACAGAGTCGGACACGACTGAAGCGATTTACAGCAGCAGCAGCAGTGTTGCAGAAGACTCTTGAGAGTCCCTTGGACCGCAAGGAGTTCCAACCAGTCCATCCTAAAGGAGATCAGTCCTGGGTGTTCGTTGGAAGGACTGATGCTGAAGCTGAAACTCCAGTACTTTGGCCACCTCATGTGAAGAGTTGACTCACTGGAAAAGACCCTGATGCTGGGAGGGATTGGGGGTAGGAAGAGAAGGGGACGACAGAGGATGAGATCGCTGGATGGCATCACTGACTCGATGGACATGAGTTTGAGTAAACTCTGGGAGTTGGTGATGGACAGGGAGGCCTGGCGTGCTGCGATTCTTGGGGTCGCAAAGAGTCGGACACAACTGAGCGACTGATCTGAACTGAACTGAATTGAGTTTAGAATATGGCTAAAACTAAAATTGCTCACCCATTCTTCAATTACACTAATGTAGAGTTCACCACCCTGAGACTGCATGTATTAGAATGTTAATTACAAGCACTGTGTTATATCTGATCAGGACTACTCTGCCCTGCATCATATGAGCAGAGAGGGCTTTGGCCTTCTTTCCTTCCTTCTTGAAACACTCCTTGCCTTGCTTTAGTGAAAACATGCTCTTTCAATTTTTATTCTTTATCCCCAGCCCATCTTTTTCAGCTTTTTAAAACCAGTTTAGCTTCATCTTTTCTCTATATTCTTACCCAAGTTAATATCATTCATTTTTCACAATTTCATGTCATCCAAATGCAGGTGACTACCAAATTTACATCTTGAAGCCATTTCTTTACTCTGAGCCCCAAACTTATATTTCTTATTATATATCTTTCACTTTTTATATTTAATATCTAAATTTCTATTTCAGCATTTATTTTTTACCATTTCATTCAGACTTCCTGTCCTCGTAAGTGATGGTAAAATAAACATACCTTAGTTAAAACAGAAACTTGGAGGCTATACTTGATTCATTTTTTTTCCCCTTGTCCTCCAAATCATTAGTAAATCTTGCCTTTCTACTTCCACAATAAACTCATATCTGTTCATACTGTTTCCATCTGCACTGACTGAGATACAATCCCATTATTTAATTTTCTGTAATTATTTTTTGTTTATCTTTTTTATTTTTGTAGAAAAATTTAAAAAAATATAATCAGGAAAATAGATAATTAAAACCAGTTCAAAACATTTCTTTGAACTTAAATTTAAACTCAAATACTTCTTTAAACAGTTATTTGTGAGATCATTTTGTTGATAACAAATCTTACACATCTCACACAGCTCAATTAGTTTAATGCCTAGACACATATGGTAATACAAGAAAACAATCAAACAGCATTTGCATTCTCACATGTGAATTGAGTATTGATAATGGTTTAGTTGCTAAGTCCTATTCAACTCTTTGTGACCCCATGGACTGTAGCCTGCCAGGTTCCTCTGTCCATGGGATTTTCCAGGCAAGAATCCTGGAGGGGGTTGCTATTTCTTTCTCCAGGGATTCTTCCTGAACCTGGGTCTCCTGCACTGCATGCAGATTCTTTACTGACTGAGTCACCAAGGAATTGAGTATTAATGAAGGCCTAATCCTAATTATCAAGATTGGAGTTTAATAGTATAGATGGAAAGGGGTTGAAAATCAGGGTTGTGGCTTGTGTGACTGGCCACATGCATATGATTAAAACATTAGGAATATCATGAAATTAACTGATTTATAAGATCATATGTGGTTTAAACATTACTCTGGTTTTCAGTTATAGTCACTAAGGTTGTATTCTCCATCTGACAGTAGTCTTATGATGCTTATTTTGTATTTATGCATGTTAACTTTGAAAGACCAATGTTGATTTTTTTTATTGCCTATAATAGTTTTTTTAATGGAAAAGCATTAGTCTGAATTATGAACCATCTTGTATATATTTTGAAATGCATTGCTTTAAGTGGCTGCTAGTAATTCTGTGGAAGTTCATTTCAGATGCTGAAATATATGAGAGCTGTTATATTAGAATTAAATGATATTACTGGCAGTTGATAATTTTATTAAATATGAGGAAGCTTAAATACTAAGTATGTGATTAATGTAACAATTTGCTTAATGTGGTGAGCCACTTTGGAGAAATGGAACAAACACAGATGTTGACAAAAGACAGAAATGAATTTGAACCCTACTACTTACTGCCTGTGTGACTTTAAAAAAGTTACTTACCCTCTCTGATCATATGTATAGAATTTGGAAAACAATTTTTACATTTTAGCATTGTTATAAGAATCAAAGAAAATTTATGTAAAATGCCTGGTTTATAGTAATTTACTCCATCCTGAATATTGCTAGTATTAATTCAAATGATGCCACATATGTAGTTATGTTACACTGTCTCTTACCATCTTGTTAGATGAGCATCCTTGTTGGTTTGTCAATCCTTAATGGCTGTTTTGACATTTGTCTATCCTTGGTGGCTTCATGGCATTGTAGGTGAAGACTGTGTTAGATATTTGAGAGAAAGAAAGAAGAGAATTATACAGATAAGCAAATTCAGCCCAGTGTAAGAAAGAGGGGAGGTAGCTTATGTATATTCTAGAGATTTTCTCTATATACAGGGTTATGTAATCTTGTCTCTGCTTATAAAGATAATGTCAAGTCATGCCCTCTAGAGCAAGCTTACCCCAGAGTAAATTGACCCCACCCCAATTACAAGCTTTATTAGCACGTACGGTCAAGATGCTGGCTGGCTGGCATGTGTGTGCTCAGTCATCTCCAACTCTTTGCCACACAACAGACATATCCTGTAAGACTCCTTTGACTGTGGAATTTTCTAGGCAAGAATACTGGAGTTGGTTGCCATTTCCTACTGCAGGAGATCTTCCCGACCCAGGAATCAAATCTGTGTCTCTTGCATCTTCTGCATTGGCAGGCAGATTCTTTGCACCTGTGCCACCTGGGAAGCCCTCTAGGGGAGGAGGGGAGGAAACTAAGACAAATGTATTAGCAAAGTATGTAAATGTTTCAATAAAACATGTTCGTTAACAAGGAATAATGAGGTAATGACAAAAGTGAATACAATTTCAGCTAATTTATGCTCAGTTGGGGCTTCCCAGGTGGGGCTAGTGGTAAAGAACCTGCCTGACGATGCAGGAGGGAGACAAAAAAGACAGTTTCGATACCTGGGTCAAGAAGATATCCTGGAGAAGGAAATGGCAACACACTCCAGTATTCTTACCTGTAGAATCCCATGGACAGAAGAGCCTGGTGGACTGCAGTCCATAGGGTCTCAGAGAGTCAGACATGACTAAAATGACTTAGCACACATGTCCAGCTGATATAAATGGCATATTGCAGATACTTTAGAGAACATCTGTTGATGTTCTTGTTATAACAGCTTCAGCTATTGTCTGAATCATCAAGTTATATAAGCATGTTCACACATAAAATCCTCATTGGAGATACACAAATCAGAATTTGAAATTATTGGTCAGTGAAATGTTCAGTGTAGTTAATTCATAGTACTTCATAGCATTTGAGAATGTAAAATGTTTCACTTCATTACAAAAAAATTCAATTGATCAATAATATACACAGATTTCTCATTTGCTATTAAGATTTTTAAGCATAATGGGAAAACTTTAAAATTGGAAATGGAAGAGGCATTTAAGTGTCTTTTTGGTTATTCTCCTGCTACAGATTTGACTTAATTCAGTTTACATAAATCATTATTGATTCTAGTTGTACAAAATAGAAATGAAAAAATTGTATCTGGTATATTTTAAGGTCTACAACGCCATTTTTTTTTTTTATCTCCTATATAACCTCAGCTTGTTGAATGAAAGAAAACAATGTAAAAATGTATTTTCCAAGTATTGTGAATTATATTAATATTGTACCTCATGTAAGGCATGGATGAATTTGTAGAGGTTTTTTTTTTGGAGGGGGGGGGGTGGAATTAATCAAAATACTGTCCAGAGATAATCAGTGCTTATGTTTTTATGTATTCTTTCAGAGCTGCTTCTATTCCATACTTGATTTTCTTACATTTTATACAATATGTATTACTATATTCATTACTTAAAGTGGTTTATAGCTAGGTTCAAAAGTTCAGTATGCATGCATCAGAATGACATAGTGAGCCGATCGAGAAGATCATAGCCTGTCTGGCCACCTACATGCCCACATACTCTCTCTCACTCTTTTCAAAGATTCTGATTTTGCAGAAGTGAGCCACAGCCAAGAAATATGAATTAGAGAAATAAACTTTTAGATGGTTCTGAGGTGGATAGATTATAAAACTGGAAAACATAGGTCTGTAGAACCTGTGTTATTCTGGGAGGATAATGTATTGAAGTACCCTACACCTATACTAATTTGTTAAAATGTTTATCTTTTTCAGGATTATCAAAGAATTTTGATAACAGAATGAATTATTTGATATAATTTTCTGTTGAAATATTTATTTGATGAATTTTGAAGACAATAAATCATGTACTAAATTTTCAAGTTCTTAAGTTCTTTCCATTCATTTCAGTTGTTCAGTCCTGTCCAACTCCTTGCAACCCCGTGGAATGCAGCACGCCAGGCTTCCCTGTCCATCACAAACTCCTGGACTTTACCCAGACTCATGTTCATTGAGTCGATGATGCCATCCAACCATCTCATCCTCTGTCATTCTCTTCTCCTCTCACCCTCAATCTTTCCCAGCATTCAGGGTCTTTTCAAATGAGTTAGCTCTTTGCATCAGGTGGCCAAAGTATTGGAGTTTCAGCTTCAACATCAGTCCTTCCAATGAATATTCAGGACTATTTTCCTTTAGGGTGGACTGGTTGGATCTCCTTGCAGTCCAAGGGACTCTCTAGAGTCTTCTTCAACACCACAGTTCAAAAGCATCAATTCTTCGGCGCTCAGCCTTCTTTATCATCCAACTCTCACATCCATACATGACTACTGGGAAAACCATAACCTTGACTAGACACACCTTTGTTGGCAAAGTAATGTCTCTGCTTTTTAATATGCTGTCTACGTTGGTCATAACTTTCCTTCCAAGGAGTAAGCATCTTTTAATTTCATGGCTACAATCACCATTTGCAGTGATTTTGGAGAACAAAAAACAAAGTCTGCCACTGTTTCCACTGTTTCCCCATCTATTTTCCATGAAGTGATGGGACCAGATGCCATGATCTTAGTTTTCTGAATGCTGAGCTTTAAGACAAATTTTTCTCTCTCCTCTTCTACTTTCATCAAGAGGCTCTTTAGTGCTTCTTCACTTTCTGCCATAAGGGTAGTGTCATCTGCATATCTGAGGTTGTTGATATTTCTCCCAGTAATCTTGATTCCAGCTTGTGCTTCTTCCAGCCCAGCATTTCTCATGATGTACTCTGCATATAATTTAAATAAGCAAGGTTACAATATACAGCCTTGATGTACTCCTTTTCCTATTCGGAATCAGTCTGTCGTTCCATGCCCATTTCTATCTGTTGCTTCCTGACCCGAATACAGGTTTCTCAGGAGGCAGGTCAGGTGGTCTGGTATTCCCATCTCTTTCAGAATTTTCCACAGCTTATTGTGATCCACACAGTCAAAGGCTTTGACATAGTCAATAAAGCAGAAATAGATTTTTTTCTGAAACTCTTTTGTTTTTTCAATGATCCAACAGATGTTGGCAATTTGATCTCTGGCTCCTCCTGCTTTTCTAAATCCAGCGTGAACATCTGGAAGTTCACGGTTCACATATTGCTGAAGTCTGGCTTGGAGAATTTTGAGCACTACTTTACTAGCAATGTGAGATGAGTGCAATTGTGTAGTAGTTTGAGCATTCTTTGGTTTTGCTTTTCTTTGGGATTGGAATGAAAATGAACCTTTTCCAGTTCTGTGGCCACTGCTGAATTTTCCAAATTTGCTGGCATATTGAGTGCAGCACTTTAACAGCATCATCTTTTAGAATTTGAAATAGTTCAACTGGAATTCCATCACCTCCAGTAGCTTTGTTTGCAATTATATGGGTCGTGAAGATCTTTTTCGTACAGTTCTATTGTGTATTGTTTCCACCTCTTCTTAATTTCTTCTGTTTCTGTCATACCATTTTTGTCCTTTATTCAGCCCATCTTTGCATGAAATGTTCCCTTGGTATCTCTAACCTTCTTGAAGAGATCTCTAGTCTTCCCCATTCTATTGTTTTCCTCTATTTCTTTTCATTGCTCACTGAGGAAGGCTTTCTTATCTCTCCTTGCTATTCTCTGGAACTCTCCATTCAGATGGGCGTATCCATCCTTTGACTTTCACTTTCAGATAGTCTATTCAAGTTTTCTATCCCCCTTTCAGTCAATTTTCATGACATTTTCTTAAAATACTGGTCATTGTATTGTAAAACGTATTATTGTTTATGATGTGGAGGAATTATATTTTACCAGAATAATATCAGATTTTATCTGTATAAATTCTTCTTTCCTCTTCATTTTTGCTTATTCCTTTCTATGTCCAGTTTCTTCAGTTTGATACTTGATGTTTGGAGGGTGTTTCTTTTAGAGTTTGGCACCTTCTAGCCATGGACATGGTATAGCTCTGTTTTGATTTCTGTCTAGTTTCATGTATGTTGATATTATTTTTACTCCTTAGGTATCATTTTGTTAAATTTATTTCTAATTTTCATATAGATTCTATTGCTGATATAAATAGAATTTTAAAAATTTTCTAAATGTTTATTTTTGTTATATTTTATGGAGTTTTATTTTCATGTACCTATGTTTATGTAAGTATTTTTGTTTTCTACCTAATAACTTTGCCGAATTCCTATTAATTTTGCCTGATTGATCATCTGACTGTTCATGTTCTCATATTTGTTGCTATGAAGATATCAATGCTATATGTATGCATAAAATGTTTTTATCCTGTCTTATCATTTGTTCTATTTTCATTTCACATTTGCTTCCCTTCCTTCCTCCCTTCCTTTCTTTTTTTCTTTCCTCCTTTCTCCATGTTTACCAGATTGTCTAGGGTGATGCTGAAGAGCGATGAGTGAAGACAGTAACTTTATCATGTAGTGACTAAAGTAACTTCAAAATTCTCATGATTAATATAGTATATGTTGTACTTTCAAAAAATAAGATGGTTTATTTCTCTGAAATGCTTTTATAAATAAAGATTGTCAGTTCTATGTAGTTTGATTTCATTTGATTTAAACTGCCTGTGAAACCAGTGGAAACAGATGTCTCAGATCACAGGATTTTGACCAGTTCAGTGTATTCTATCTCCTTACTGCCAACTTTTCTAAGTGTTTTTGTAGTAAACATACTTCTTTTCAAAATTATACTATATTTAGACTTTATTTATTTTTTTACCATTGCAGAATAAGGTACTTAATAAATACATATGTGTTTTTCTTAGCTGTATTTTTATTCTTCCCTTACCTCTGGTCTGTTGAACTGAAATAATTTTGTTAAATCTTTTTTTTTCTTTTTTATGACATATCAGAAGCAATATATTCAGATTCTTTCCCTTGTAAGATATATCTGTATCTATATCTATACATATATATTCTGGAAGTGTTTTAAAACCTCAATATTTCTATCTTTCATTCAAATACATGAAAAGCCTTAACATACTTTAAGAACTCATTCACTATTTTCCAATCAAGTTTTAAGTGACTTTTCTTTTTTTAAATGTAAAAATAAGCTAAACATGCTTTGATATTCTTTAATCTATTTTATTTATAAGATAGTTTGTCCATTTTTAAGACTTTCCATTCTTTCCTGGAACCTATATCTTCCCTAAATTTGTGATTTTCCTCTGTGACTATACTTTTTTTATAAATCATGTGAGATTTGTTGCATTAATATTTTTCTAGTGTTGAGTAGATTAGCTTAAGATAGCAGAGTAGAAGGATGTACCTGCATTCTTTCTTGAGAAAGCACCAGAATTACAATTAGCTACTGGGTAACAATTGATGGAGAAACACTGAAACATACCAAAAATGATACTGTCACCTGAAGCAAAGGAGAGGCCACAGTGAAATTGTAGGAAGGGTGCAAGTATTATAGAATCAAATCCCATACCTGCCAGGTGGGTACCCACAGACTTGGCCAATAAGTATACAACAGAATTATCCCACTGGAGTGAAGGTTGTGAGCCCTGTGCTGGGCTTCCCAGACTGGAAGTCCAGCAATGGGAAAAGGAGTCCCCAGAGAATCTTTCTTTGAAGGCCAGCAGGATTTGATTGCAGGGCTTTTACAAGTACAGGGAAACAAAAATTCCACTTTAGAGGGCACACACAAATTTTTGTGTGCATTAGGACCCAGGAGGTGGGGGGAAAAAACACCAACCTCATAGAAGACTCACCCACACCTACCTTCTAGTATCAGAGGGTTTCTTGAAGAGATGGTTGGGGGGAGGGGGGGTGTTGGCTATGCCTCAGTGCAGGGACAAAGCCTAATAGAATTTAGCATGACCAGACAAGATTTGCAGGAAGAAACCAACAATTTAAAACAAACTTGTATACATATAGACTGCTGAATCAAAACCTCTTGGGAAGAGAAAACCCCAAAATACAACAGATACACACACAAAAAGAAAATAAAACAACCTAAACACAACACAAAAGAAGGTCATCAAATCACCAGAAAAGGGAAAAAAAAGACCTACAAAAACAAATCCAAATCAATTAAGAAAATGTCAATACGATCATATATATTGATAATTACCTTAAGTGTAGATGGGATAAATGATGCAACTGAAAGATAAGTTGACTGAATTGTCACCAAAAAGACCAATATATAAACTGCCTATTAGAGATCCACTTCAGACCTAGGGATACATATAGACTGAAATGAAGGGGTGGAAGAAGGTATTCCATGAAAATGAAAATCAAAAGAAATCTGGAGTAGCAGTACTCGTATCAGACAAATTGGAATTTAAAATAAAGACTGTTTTAAGAGACAAAGATGGTGATCAAGGGATCAATCCAAGAAGAAGATATAACAATTTCTATATTCAAAATACTAGAGTTTCAGCTTTAGCACTTGTCCTTCCAATGAGTATTCAGCAATGACTTCCCTTTAGATTGACTGGTTTGATCTTTTTGGTGTCCAGAGGACTCTCGGGAGCCTTCTCCAATTGCACAGTTAGAAGGCATCAACTTCTGGGCATATATTCAGAGAAAAACATAGTTTGAAAGCATTCATGCACCCCAATGTTTATTTCATCATTGTTTACAATAGCCAAGACATGGAAGCAATCTAAATGTTCAACAGAGAAATGGATAAAAAAGATGTGGCACATACATACAATGGAATATTACTTGGCCATTAAAAACAATGAAATAATGCCATTTGCAGCAACATAGATAGACCTAAAGATTGTCATACTGTTTCAAGTAAGTCAGAGAAATAGAAATATTGTATGATATCACTTATAAGCAGAATCTAACATGAAATGATACAGATGAACTTACTTATGAAACAAAAACAGACTCACACACTTAGATAAGGAATTTATCATTACTTGGGTAAAGTCTGGGGGAAAGGAACAGTCAGGGATTTTAAGATTGATATGTACACACTACTACAATTAAAGCTGATAACCAATAAGAACCTATTATATAGAACAGGAAGTCTGCTTACCATTATATAACAACCTAAATGTGAAAATAACTTGAAAAAGAATAGGTACATATATATACATATATGAATCACTTTGATGTACATTTCAAACAATCACAACATTGTTAGTCAACTATAGTTCAATATAAAGTAAAACTTTAAAATATATATATTTTTTTCATAGCATTTTTTGAAGCTATCAGAAAACCTTTTGTATTAACTTGGGAATTATAGTTGCCTTACAATTGATTGACAGGGTGTCAGCTATGTCAATACAGTAGGAACAACTTCAGTTTTCAGCAAGAGTAGAGAATTCAGGCCCAAGATCATCACCTGTTCTTTCCAAAGTCACATTTGATTGTGATGAGTAACCTGGGGAGTTTGATAGTGGAAAAAATAAACAGATAATTTGTTAACTAAAATCAGTGAATTCTGTCAGAAGGTATTGGCACTCCAGTATCCATCAGGTTGGGATTCAGAGAAAAGATTGGGAAAAGCCAGGCAGAGAAACATTTCTCAGAAGGCTCTTAGGAACCAAGGAAGCTGTACCATCCGTTATCAGAAACAGATCCATATCAAAGCCCATTGGTCAAATTGAGAGCATAGACCAAAGCTGCTATTCATAGTAGTGGCATATTTCTGACCAAATTTCTAAGGGCATTAAAAAAGATAACTGGGTAGAAGCCCAGATGAAAAGACAGACTAAAGGCAAACCTTGGCTTTACAATTCTGGCAGATTATTTCTAATTTAAATGTTCATTTTGTGGAGCATTAAGATATCCATTTGTGGTGCAAAAACTTCACAACTGCAAGAAAATCTGTCAGATTTAATTTGAACTTTCTAGGTTGTTCATGTTCAATGAATAGACTGTGCTTGAATTTGTAGCTTTCTCCTAAATATGTAGATAAAATGTAAACAATTTGTTTCTGAAGGAAAGGCCACAACCCAAGGAAATTTTATTACAAATTGAACACTTCTGTATTCACAGACACAAACACACAAAGAAATCTAAAGGTGTTTAAGAATGACTATATGACTAGCATGTTATAGGGCATTTTACCTATGTGATTTTATTTAATTTTCAACCCTTGATCTATGAGAAGGTACAATCATCTCTAGATGGCAAATGAGGAAATCAAGACTGAAAGTGATTGCATAATTTTCCCAAGGGCACATACCTCATATCTGAGCAACTCCGAAACTCTTGTTATTTCTCTTCAATTAGGATATCCTCCGTAACCAAAGCATGTTGGCATGTCTGGGCCTTAAGAAGTTAAGTCCTGCATTTGAATAATTTTATGTATCTTAAACATGAAAACAATTATATGAGCTATGATTAGCTTTAATATTGCAGTCGTACTTTAGATAATGCAGTATACATAATATAGAAAAGTTACTACTCACTCCATATCAAGCATCATTTATCGTCATTTATTTTTAAACAGAAGGGTGACAATAATATTCTTTTACCCCCAAATAAACAAACCATTCTTGTCCATATGTTTTTGATATAAATTCAAATTAAGTCTGACATGTTGGTAGTTAGATGTCAAGATGCTAATATTGATTTTTATGTTATATGTTTAATCACCTTTCTAGGCAATTAGGGCAAACTAAGTAGGCCCAGAAGTTCCTACTCAAAATATTGATCAAAATTATATGTGACTTCATAGCTGAGGGTATTCATGGCTACTCCTGCAACTAAGGGTTCCCCTGGTGGCTCAGACCGTAAAGCGTCTGCCTGCAATGCAGGAGACCTGGGTTTGATCACTGGGCAGAGAAGATCCCCTGGAGAAGGAAATGGCAACCCACACCAGTATTCCTGCCTGGAAAACTCCATGGATTGAGGAACCTGGTAGACTACAGTCCATGGAATCACAAAGAGTTGGACATGACTGAGCAACTTTACTGGTTCACTGGTTCCCGCAACTAAATAGGAAGAAGATAATATATTCTAAGATATTTGGCTATAATATTGTTTCCAGATTTTAAAGCACAGTTAGAAAATGTGATTTAGTAGAAAAAGACATTACTTCATAATAGTATTCTTTTAAATTTCAAAGACACAAGCTCTCTTCAAAACAGCACAAGATTTAGGTTTTAAGAATTCTTTTTAATCTTCCCTATAGTTCTGCTAATCAATAGTTGTCAGATTAGCATACTGCAGGAAAAGTCAGCAGTAACAAAGAACATGAGAATTAATAATATTCATAGTCTCTGAAGGATTTGGGTCTATTTCTCCAATTAAATATAAAATCAGTGTAATTTGGAGTCCAATGTAAAAGCACAATCTTTTTCAATTCATTTACACTTTTTTATTTTTTAATTGGGGGAGGGTAGTTGTTGTGTTGCCTTCTGTCATACATCAACATGAATCAGCCATAGGTATATATATATATATATATATATTCTAAAGAAAATCAATCCTGAATATTCATTAGAAGGACTGATGCTAAAAAAAAAAAAAAAAAAAAGAAGGACTGAGGCTTAGCTAAAATTCCAATACTTTGGCCACCTGATGCAAAGAGCCTGACTCATTAGAAAAGACCCTGATGCTGGGAAAGCCTGAAGACAGGAGGAGAAGGGGACGACAGAGGATGAGATGACTGGAGGGCATCACTGACTCAATGCGCATGAGTTTGAGCAAACTCTGGGAGATGGTGAAGGACAGGGATGTCTGGTATGCTGCAGTTCATGGGGTCTCAAACAGTCGGTCTCAACGGAGCAACAATACATATGTCTGCTCCTTCCTGAGCCTCCCCCAACCCCTTCTCACCCCTCTAGGTTGTCACAGAGCACAGATTTGAACTCCTGTGTCAAAACCGCAAATTCTTACTGCCTATTTAACATGAGGTAATATATATGCTTCAGTGCTACTCTCAATTCAGCATACCCTCTCCTTCCCCCACTGTGTGCACGAGTCTGTTATCTATGTCTGGATCTCTACTGCTGCCCTGCAAATAGGTTCATCTGTATTATTTTTCCAGATTCCATATAAATACAGTAACATATGATATTTGTTTTTCTCTTTCTGACTTACTTCACTCTATATAACAGTCTTTGGTTCATCCACCTCACTAGATCAGTTCACTTACATTTTTAAAGGCACTGCTTACAGTATTCTCTCCAGGAAATCATACTATTTGGTTTCAATTTCCTTATTTTTTCTCTCAAATTTTAGTAATTTTTTATCATTAAAATTATCTTATTTTTCATTGTGAAAAAAATGTGTTAGGATGCTGAAGCATAAAGATATGATGGAATGAATATCCATTCACAGTTTGTTTCAGTCATTCAATAATAAAATTGTATACTGAGCACTATAAATGTAAAGGCATTTCATGTGTGTGGAAGAAAGGTTGCAAAGATTAGTAAGACCTTATCAATGACTTTAAGTAAACAAATTCTATTATTTTCATTCTGTCATAAATAAATAAGATCCCATTAACTGAAAAAATGGATGCCTCTTGTAGGATATTAAAATGTGAAAATCTAAATATCTTGAAACTTATAAAACATGGTAAGCTTCTGAGTCTGAAACCAAAATTTACTTAGTATTTTGGTATCCTCATTTCACTTAATATCAAACTATAACATTTTTAAAAGACAACTAAATGGTCTCCGAAAATACAATGTTAATGACTTCATAGTAATTTATTATATGAGTATGCCATAGTTTATTAATAGAATCTCTGGTCACTTCTCTTATTTTTTTCTATATACTGATTATTGCTTTCTTGAACATCATTCACACTACTGAATCTTTCTTTAGGATAATTTTTCATGCATATTACTCTGATCAATAATTCTACTACTATCATAAAACATAATACTATAAGTTGACACATATATTTTTAACCTGAATCATTTTCATTTGCATAAATGTTTTTTTCTCTTTAGGAAGTGCATTTAGATAAGGCATTTTCTAAATCTGCCATGTCTGAAAACTATTTTATCTACAGAGTAACTAGGTCACATTTCTTTTTCCTCTGTAAATATTACTCAATTTTCTTCTGATATTTTAATGTCACTGAGATTTCTGAGGACAGTTTAATTTTTTTTTTCATTTCCTTCCCCCAGTGAATGTTACTGAGTATTCACAGGGTGCTTGGTACCTGCAAATTGTAACCAAAGTGGCAGGGTTATTACTCTTATAGACATTTTTGTCATATAGTGAGTGAAGCTGTAAGTCACTCAGTCATATCTGAATCTTAGTGACCCCATGGACTATAGAATTTTCCAGGCTAGAATACTGGAGTGGGTAACATTTCCCTTCTCCAGGGGATCTTCCCAACCCAGGGATTGAACCCAGGTCTCCAGAGTCTACCTTTTATAGGCAGCTTCATTTTTTCCAGCCTACATATTTGAAGAAATTGAAGTATTTCCTTGTCTTTTAATCCTTACAGTTTATGTTAAATTCTATGTTGACAGGAAGATTCCATCCAATCTTCCAAATCTGATGGATTTCTAATGACCAGGTCTTGGGGTGTGTTGAAGCATCATGAGATTGAATTTGCTGGGAAAAGAGCTCCATGATCGGTCACTATAATATGTCTAGTGGCTGCTGAGTATTTTCCAGTGCAAGTTAAGCAAAGTCCATTTCAACTTGCAATGTCTTGTTTCTTCAAGTCAGCTTTCCTATTATTCTTTTATGAATGATTTTTGTCATCTGTTTTTCATTGATAAATAGAGATTTTTATACAAAACATATTTCTGTGATCTACATACCCTATATTTTACCTTTTCTCATTTTTATCTCTATCTCTTCCTTTGAGTTTTGGGAAGTATTTCATAATTCTCTTCTATATTTAATGATCTTTCTCTTTGTAGTCACCCACTATAATGAGTTATACTCTATGTGTGTGTGTGTGTGTGTGTGTGTGTGTGTTTAATGAATTACATTGTTATTCATTATCATATCATTGTTAATGATACATCATGTACCAGTCAATGTTGGTAGGAAATGTATGGCATTCTCAAATCTGGTGTGTTTTAGGAAAAGTTTTTAAAAGGGGCACATGTTTGATCTGGGAATAAGGAAATAATACAGAAAAGTGGATTAGTCAAAGCTATGGTTTCTCCAGTAGTCATGTATGGTTGTGAGAGTTGGATCATAAAGATGATTGAACACAGAAGGACCTTCAAACTGTGGTGTCGGAGAAGGCTCTTGTGAGCCCCTTGGACAGCAAGGTGATTAAACCAGGCAATCCTAAAGGAAATCAGCACTGAATATTCATTGGAAGGATTGATGCTGAAGCTGAGGCTCCAATACTTTGGCCACATGATGCAAAGAGCCAGTTTACTGGGAAAGACCTTGATGCTGGGAAAGACTGAGGGCATGAGAAGAAGGCGGTGACAGAGGATGAGATGATTGGATGGCATCATGAACTCAATGGACATGAGCTTGGGAAAACTCAAGG